TCTGACACATGAAAACTTCGACGGTGACTCACGATGCAGAGAGTGGTACTTATTTGTTTGTTCAGAGATATCTCTTTGAACTCATGCTGCAAATATGCCGCTGAAAGTCAACTCGAGCACAGCTGGCTCTCTGATTAACTTGGAGCTTTCAAATTTTCTATGCGGGAGTTAATGTATCTCTTAATTTGGAGTTTCAAATTGACTGGCTGTCAGAGAAAATAATGTTGGTGCAGCTGTAGGTAATGAATGAGGTGATTAAAAGTTAAAAGCTACAAAAAAGAATAACATTCCGAAATTACTGCATTTTTAGTATGTGTAAGTTTTTTAATCTATTGTGTGTCGTCTGAAAGTTTGGTGGCTATCAGCAAAGCCATCGATGAGTTACAATGCTACTTAACTTTGGTTGCTTTACATTTTGGTATGCAGCTGTTTGTCCATGTTATCTTTTAGTTTTTTTCGAATTTGGTGACTGCTTATAGAGCCAGCGTTGAGTTACACTTGAGTAGAGCTAAGATAAAAAAAATTTACATTCTGTTACTCCACCCCGGGAGCTTAGAGCCTCTACAATTTCTTGTAGAGGATTCGTTATCAATGATTTTCGATCGTACCGGTGATAAGCCAGTAGCGACTTATCCTAGCGGTGGGGATGCCACCTGGCGCCATCTAGGAGTGACGAAAGTTTTATTGTTGGGTCCATAGTGACGTGGACGAGGGGGTGTGCGGGTCCGGGGAGCCGAAATTTGTTACTAATGTTAAGTGAGCGATAGAGCATAGAAGTGGTGGAGATTTGGAAAAAGAGACCGTTTCTTTTTCTCGGGGAGCCTGGGGCTCGACTTGAACCCGGGCCTTCCGAACCGGAGGCCAGCGCTCTACCTGCTGGGCCACCGTCCCCGCTAAGATAACACTGATAGTTAAATGCCATTTAAGTGGCTTTTTGCCATTACTCATCAATAGCTCACAACAAATCTATAGCAACCCCATTTGTCAAAATAAATCTAGAGTTCTTTCGACACTGGCCCACTAAACAGTATCGTAATCTATCCGTTGTGCCAGTTTGATAACATTCGGCTAGGGGCAATCCAATTTAGGTAAAGGTAAGGTTATGAACTCCGTCTCTCCAGCAACGCTCCTCCATTAGTTCAGTCTATAAATAGCTGACAAATGCATTGGATCATAAATTTCACTAGTGCAGCATATCGAAAACGCCGTTGCATGCGATAATGCTCGACTTAATTACACATGGGGGTAGGAATGTGCAAGAGGGAGAGGCTAGAATTTAGGGGAAAGGAGGGAAAGAGACAGATGCAGGGGGTGCAGACAGCTGGCAGACGACGCGACTCGCAGTGGCACAAATGCACTTAAGTTTTCTTCGCTGCGGACTCTGCTTTTTCGGGGAGGAAGTCGTGGCATAAGGCACACATCACTGCCAGCGAAAAGAGAGATCTAGGGGAGTACTAGTTCCATTTGCGATTGAGCAACGGAATGGTTATGATTGCAGTACCTACTCGATAGGCATAACAAATACAAAAAGAAGGATAATTATTTTACATGGAACTAGAAACTCACTCATAGGTCATGGAGATTTATGTACCATTAATTATCACTTAAAAATTATGAATCTTTGAATGCAAACTTGAAGAACTCAACAATAATTCAAAATTAACAAATATAATATGGTATGATTCTTAACACAAATATTTTTTTATGTTTCACCTTTTTTTTTTAAAATTAATGAGTTTGATATTTTAAAGCTCTAAGCCTCTCATTATGTAAGATCTAGAAAATCACCATTTGAATAGCATTAGTTGCCTTAATTCTTTCAGCTGCCCTCCTTTTCCTTTTCGGTGAATCACAGCAACTGCAACCCTCGGAGAGTCCTCACTGTACCACAATTGCAGCCTATAGCTCGCGCCAAAGTCTGGCAGCTGTTGCCTAGAATTCGGCACTCAGTCTCAGCCGAAGTCTCAAAACCCAAATCTGAACCAGAATCCTTCGCAGACGCAGACGCAGACTCATTCGCCGGTTCAGTCAATGCTCATTCAGCTCTGGGGATAATTGCTGCCAAGCGAAGTGACATTTCTCCCTGACAATCCTTTGTGCCTCTGCCCAGGATTTGGACCCATTCTTCTCCGTCATCTGCAGTCGTAGTTGCCGTTGTAGTTGTAGTTGTAGTTGTAGTTGCAGTCATACTTGTACTTACAGTTGTTGTTCCTGTCATGCCGTGCAAATTCAGGCAGCTCGACAAACAGACTAAAAGACAGACACAATTTATGTTTGCCAAGCGGTGAAAGGAAGTAGTAAGAATACACTGAAAAAATCATAGATATTTCTGGGGAAAATAAAATGAGCTTGTAAAGTTTAGATCTTTAAATTCTTCTTTGAGGAATTTTACAACAAAATATAATTTTACATAATTTTAATTTTGTTTAATTCTGATACCCTAAGGCCAATATACCATATTAGGCTAATTGTTTATGCTGATAATTTTCTTTCTCTGCATTTAAGGGCAGCTGAGCCGGCTGAACTGAGTTGAGCTGTGAGGCTCGTGCATTTCGTTAACGTGACAAAAATACATTGATTACATTTTTTAGCTGCACTCGACTCAGAATCTACGTTCTGGTTCTGGTTGTGGGCTCTGGGATCTGGGCACACGTCCGCACACTTGGCACATTTGTCAGGGCAGCGCCGCCATGTAAACATCTTGCACGTAGGATCCGGGTCCTTGTGCATCCCGGTTACATGGTATACAAAATACGGCAAACGGAGTCCTCGTGTCGCCCGGGGTCTTTGAACTGACAAATTACATTGACAACGAATGGGGGAAATTCCATTCGTGTGCACTCTGAACTCCTTTTTCCCCCCAAAAACTGTCTCTTTTTGTAATGCTCCACACTGAAAAGTTTGAGGGTCAATGTCATGCCAATTCGTATCAATAAAAAAGTTAAGCTTAGCTGTCAACAAACAAATAAAATAAATAAATGTCAGTGAAAAGCCAATTCATTTAAGTTTTTAACTTGGTGAAAGCTTTTACAAACCGAACCAAACCAAACCATTATCGGATCCATACCAATTTCTAGTCAGCTTTGTGTTTACATTTTGTATAGTATAGTATGTACATACTCTAAATACATATGTATATTATTAATCGCGTATCACAATGAGCAGAACAACTGGTTAAATGGCGTCAATGAATGTGTTTTACAAGAATAGGATTGTGCATTTTTGTTATTTTTATAATCAATTTAAAAACGTTAAAAAATAGTGGAGCTCACTAACTTTTTTAACCAGACATCAGACAATAAAAAATCAAATCCTAAATTAGCTTATTATTTTAGGTTTCAGTGCACCTTGCTCATCAGATGTTTTCGGTTTTCAGTGGCGGATACAGGGGGGGGGCGATAGGGGCGATCGCCCCCCCTCAGCTTCTGAAAAAAGGTGCTTCACTTGAATGCGTCCGACTCCTCAGAAAACGCGTGAACCGAGTGAACTGGCGTGAACTTCGGAAACCTGCGTGTTACAGCGTGTCGCCAGTCCTTTCTTGCCCTACTTCTTCCCTTGTCTATCCCTCCTCCTAAGACTAACTAGCCTATCATTGCTACATACGCATTCCGAAATCAGTATTGACATCGAGAGAGTTATAGAAAAGTTTTTAAAAAGAGGGAAAAGAAAAATGGAATTCGCCATTTAGATTAAAATTAATTAATTTATTTGTACAGTGTGTTTTGAATAAAACTGCGTACAAATTTTGATTATTTGCCACCTGCTACTTGCATTATTTAAAAAAAAATTTTAATCGCCCCCCCCCCCAGGCAGATACCTGTATCCGCCCCTGTCGGTTTTAATTTGCTTACTTGGCTTTCTCCCTCCTCCGCCTCCTTCATCTGTTTATGTTCATCCCAACTGTTTTATCTACTTTCGCAATTTGGAAATGGCTTCAAATTGGCAACGACAAAAACAGCAAGCACGGTGTGGGTTGCTCTTAATTATTTTCACCGCCGGTGGGCGTCTCTTAAGTCTTTAATAATGTTTGAACCATTTGTTCAATTGCCTAATTGCTGCCGATTGCTCATAATTTCAGAGTTATAAAAGCAAATGTGTTCCATTTTTCCGTTTTATGGCCTTGTTCGATCATGAATGGGTGTTATTTACTGGCCCTTACAAAGTTTTGGTAATCTTATCAACCCCTTTAAAAGTGATCAAACTTGCGCAAGTTGGCAAACAAATTTCGAAACGGAAATTCCAAGGGGTTAAACTATCAACGTATAAAAATAACTTCCCTAAGATTGCGCCAAAAATTCGCATTAAATCACAGCAACAATAACAAGAGAACCCAATTAAAAACACAAAATCTCAGGCAGCTGCGCATGCGTAGAAGATGAAAGAGAGGGGGGAGATCGCACCTTTGGAAATGCTACCGAACAGCTGGTCAGAGAAAGAGAGTGAGAGAGCGAGAGGGTGAGTGATAAGAAAGTAAAATAGCAACAAAAACATAAACCACCACCAACTACTACAACAACGAACGCGACAAAGCGAACAATGCTCAGCATTATGCGACCCGTGTGTACATTATGATTAAACAAACATAGGGAGAGAGACAGTCAGAGTGAGAGAAAGGAGAGAGTACGGAGAGAGGGAGAGAAGAATAGCCGGTTGGGAAGAGAGAGCAGCTGCTGATAATGACAATTTAAAACTTAGCTATAAAATAGCTAAGATCCGTAGCTCCATAATAAAAAATGATAAAGAAAACTTATTATTTTTTAAGCTTCATGGCATTTTGAATATTGTTTTAAATTATATAGCAATATTAAAAATAACTAACATTCCATTGGGTTTTATTTTTGTTAAGATCCCTAATTGTTTTTTTTTTATTTATCCCCTCTAGCTGCAAAGTAGCGAAGTTGACAGCACTGCCTACCTCACCCAGGTAACATGACTCCCGCTCTCTGGCTCGCTCGTCTCTGGTCACCCTCCCTCGGAATCAGAAGTCTATAGCCCCTCATTCGATTCCCAGCACTCGAAGAACGCAGACGCAACCGCAACTGCTGAGATCGTCGCGAGTTATTTTTGTTTCGTACTCGTTCTGCCCGTTTTTGTTTCGTTCGGTTTAAAGTGTTTATTAGGTGTCGCGTTGTGTTTACCGTTGTGCAGTGTTAAACTATTTACGCTTTGTCTTGTGGGTGCACCACCCCGTCAACCCATACACCCACTCACCCACTTCACTTGTCAAGTTTTGTGGTGACCAAAAATAATCAAATGACACGTGCTTGAAATATAAATTTTACTATCCGTCAGTGGCCAAACAACAATAACAGAAGCCAAACTTGGGATTACCTCGGCATTGTTTATACAAGAGAACGGTAAGTTTCGGCCACCATAAACCGCAATGGAATGCCATTCAAACAGATAACTGTTTATTGTCCCCTTTGACCCCAATAAGCTTATCAATAAACACAAATATTTAATAATATTCCGCATACGCCCCTTGTAATTACACATGCTTTTATACACATACTATATAAACTACATATATTTATCTCCGCCCATTTATTGAACTCATAAACCAGCTATGCGAGGCTCTTCCTTCTTCTCGGCTATAATGTTTTTATTTTTCATATTTTCGAGGACTTTGCTAAGCTCGCTTTTATGACTCAGGAGCTTCCCTGAGTCGTCAGACCGCAAAATGTTTTCTTGCTGCTGCTGTTATTTTCGTTTTTTGTGCGGGTTTTCTCTGAATGTTCTTTATAACGTAGATCCCCCCGGTGAGTCACCAGCGTCCCCAAGCTGGCGGCCAAGTGGATACATAACTGAGATATATAATTGGGGGAGGCGTTGGGTAAAGGTGACTGATCAGGTTGATGGTGAATGAAATGAGCTTGGGGTGTTGGTGACTAAGCCTCGCCTTTGGATAACATTAATTGGGTAGGTAAAGGAATATGGGTGTGATAGGTCCACATACGGCGATTGTGAATGAATTCCAGCGAGCAACAATTAAATAATTCCACAGTTGTGTTGACAGTTTACCTAATAACCCCATCGATAATTAAAAACGTTTGTTTTGTATTGCAAATTAATCGAATACAAATGTGTACAAACTACTATAACGACAATAAACTTTTATTTAATTCAATAAATATCACTTATTAAAGGCTCTAACTCTTCTATAAATGATTTTACTTATCTGCGCTATGTTTTTAATTTGTCTGATTCCTAAACGATTTTTTTGGCAAAACGAACTTAAAGGTTAGCAAATACATACAATACAATGAAAGCTCATTTAAAAAACTGTTTAATATATCTCAACTCAGTAACTTAACGTGCTTTCACCATTTAGTATGCGTTGAAACGATTACTACTAGCCACGCAGGAATTTCAGAATGCTGGTCAGTCGATTTCAATCTCACCGCAATCATCCGTTCCCAGATTTTGCTAATTTCAGTTTGCCCAAACCTAATTGTAATAATCAGGGGAACACCGCATAATTGCACTGATCTAGTTCCAGTTTGAGAGCCTTCTGCGGTCTCGGTTCTGCGGCCGGGATGGCTCCATTAGAGTGCTAAACACTGGCCATTACACCGGTCATCAGGAGAGGTGTTATTAAGGCCCGTTCCCCGAGACGTGGGGCTTCAAATGGAAACCAGTCTGGGCCTCGGAGTCACTCACCTGTTGCCACTCAGAGATCGATATCATTGACACAATTGGTGTCGACGGCAGCGGCAAACACATAAAACAACTCCGATATGCTGCCACCGTTAGATTAGTTAGGAAATGCCAAAGCAACGATGATTGTCTTCTAATTGAATGGGATTAGCGTTTAATTTGGCTTGCTTTGTTGCTTTTCCATCGAATAACAATGATGCGAAATGTCAGCAAACGCCGCAAATGGAGCAGCTCAATTGTAATCCATTCCACCCAACTCTTTTCTCTTGACGTGTCGCATTGACATTTGCAACAATGGCCAATTCTATTTAACAGTTTATGGTTAAGTGAGACTTGAATAATTGCGCACTTTTTACGCAAAATCAATTCCACTCATTCGCTAGGTTTTTACATAATTAAATGATTGTTTAAAACTGATTTATTATTTAATTGTTTGCCACTCGAACGACAACAATTAATTATGCAATAACAAAAAGATGGGAAATAAATAAATAATACTTTCATTATAATCAATGCAACAGCTGCCATTGAGGAAAAAAAAAACGGCGGGGAGCCGTAGTGACCAGCAATTAAAATTTATTACGCTTATTTTGCATTTATTCCATTTTAATTTGTCGCTTAAATGTCAAAACTATTAAAATAATTATGGTCGATGGCGGATTAATCAATGAGCTCTATGGTTTGGCGTTTTTCCAATCGAATTTGATCTGGTTGGGCCTCACCTTTCGGTTAATTAAGAGGGGTTACCTTCCTTCCTTTCTCCCTCCGATTTTCCAACTTTCCCCGCTGAACCTCGTATTCAATTCGATTTGCTGACCCCATTGAGCCAAGTTCAGTTAACACTCATCCACCCCTCTTATTAACTTAATTATCATGATTAACATTTACAGTGTAATTTCTGTTTTTCGTTCGCCTCCCTCAATTTTACGATGCAATTTCAATACATTGACTCGCATTGCAACTTTTTAAGCTCGCCAGAACTTAAATTTTTGTTCAACTCGTTTCTCTCTCTCTTTTTGCCCATTTCTTTTGATTTATATATTATGAAATCTTTTGATAACAAAACCATTATCATATCTTCATGCCGATATGGCAAGCAGTTCCGTTGTTGTCTTTCTCTTTTTGTGAGCTTGAACTGCATAAATTATGCGCTCCCGCTCGTTTTTGTTTCCAAACTAATTGGCAGATTGTCACAGACTTGGGGAATAAATTTAAAAATTCTATTTGGCCCGAAACTTGTTTGCTGACAACTCTATTTGCAATTTGCATATGAATTTTGACTGCCTTTTGTGCTTAATTAACCGTCAAGCCAGCATTTATATGGGTCCCAAGTACAACGAACTTCCAATTCAATTTTATCCGCCACGATCCTTAGGCGGAATTAAATTTACATCAATTTTTACACTATTCAACTCACCCAATTAGGTGCAATTTGCGGCTGGGGCATTCGTAATGAGGCAAACTCATCTCAGTTATTTCTTGCTCGAAACCGGATTGTTAGCTAAACATTTTTTACATTTTTCGCCTTTGCCTACTAATGAGAGACGTCTATTAGAATTACTCACGGCTGGCCATAAATATCGATTAAGGGGCGGTTTTTCAATCAATTTAAGCGCTCTTCTGGATGGGGACGTGGTAATGAGACAGACGACCAACAAAAAATATACGGTCAAGGGCAGAGGGTCCTGGAATTCCTCCATGGCTGGCTTCGATTACTAATCCAATTAGAATTACGCCGCCGGCTGGGAAGTCGCCTTTGTAGGTGCTCCTAATTAGATTTTCGCCGGTCAGGCGTTTTTCTATGAAAAAATTAAATTAATATTTCGTTAGAATATGGACATTTTTCTTTCAGAAATCAAACGAAAAAGTTCGTTTCGTCTGGTTTTTAAGAATTCATTGTTTTTTGTTTCTGTTTAGTGTTCACTTTTTCTTTTTGGGAAAATTGTAAAGTCTTGTTAAGACCTAAGTAACCATTTTTTAAAAAACAAAACATAGATCTTAAAACATGACTTACAACTAATTAAGTGATTATGTAGTGTTTTGTTTATTTGAAAACTTTTTCAGAAAATTCCTTTCTACATCACATATTATTTTTACATTTCTATATTAATTTTAAAACGAGTAGATTTTGCCCATTTTCAAATTTTAGTTTACCGCCAAAACATTTTTATAGCGCTCTTAAATGTTTTATGGCAAGCGTATTTGATGTACTTTCCAGCACTGAATTCCCGTACAGATCAGCAAAGCCTCTCTTCTGGTATAAAACTTAGATGGCTTAAGAATACAAACACAACATATACAAAATTTGAGGACGAATAAGTTTTGCAGAAGAAAGTTTATATGTTTCTGTTTGAAAAAATATTCTTAAAAGTATTGTGTTAATAAGAGCGCGATCTGAGACACCAACCAATGCATTGCTAGGTTGAAGAAAAAGTTTTGACCGATAATGCCAACTGCAGCCACTGGATTTTTTAGGTAGTTCATGGTTAAACGGTAGAGGTTGGCAGCCCTGGCTGCGCGAACGACTCATCAACGGCAAAAAAACAGTTTTCTCCTTCTGTTCCGACGTATTTTTATTTTCACCTTGTTTTAAGTTCGCGAAGTGCATAGCTGAAGTGGAAAAGTCGTGGGAAAATCGGATGAACTTTTCCGGGCGGACGTATGTTGGTCCGTGATCGGCAAATTAAGTTGGAAAATGCAAAAGTGCGGCCGCTTTGAAGTGGAATTTTGTCGATTGCCGCACGACGACGTCACCGCCAGTCACAAATACATACAGACACACAAGTAAATAACCAGGTGTGCACGGAGAATTCAAATTCGTTGAGATTGTTGTAAATTATGAAAGCAATTTATCAAGCGGAAACTGGAAATCGAGAAAAGAGTTGGAAAAAAGGGGAAGGAAAAGGAAGAAGAACGAGAACAACAACTGCTAATGAGGGAGCGCGAGTGATAAACGCGCCTTGATCGACGAATACACAAAGAGAGCGAAAGAGAAAGAGAGAACTACCGAACTACAGAGAGAGCTCAAATAATAATCTTTTAGCTGGATACCTTCGGGGTTATTCTGACCTTTGGCAGCCGCATAATATTTCCTCGAGCATTTCTGTGTAAGTACGCTAATTAATTATCAAATAAAAAAGCAAAACGCTGAAATTGCAAGCTCTTAAAAAAAAGATACTGTGCCCAAGGCAACAGCGACAACAACAACAGCCAGCTAACAGCTCTTCGAAGGTTAACAGACGCATAACAGAGAGGGTTAAGTAGGAAGTTGTTAACCCTAGAAGGACTTATTTCTTTATTTTATGAGCCATACGTTAAACTTTTGTTCCATTTTAAGTGCTAATAAAGTAACTTATATTTGCACGTTTTCGTTTTTGTTATATTGAAACTAAGCAGTCCCCCCTGGGGTTGAGCACTCAATGGGAATATAGTGTAGTTTTTGTCAGCCTAAGGACGCCCACAAGTTCTTGATATTCATTCACTGAATTCATTCGCCAAAAACTTTCCGTTATTAACGTACAATTATGGTTTTTGTTTTTATTGTCTGGCCTGTCATGCGTGCGACAAATATTAAAAAAGACACGAGGAAAGATATATAGGAGATGCCGCCGTTATATCCGCCGAGCGACAATCTAAAATTCTACGAAAATAAACACACACGAGCCAGCTGAATGGCCTCCCACCGCCCACTTATGCGGTGGCCCCTTTTCTACGTCCATGACCATGTTTTGGTTTCATTTTCCATTTTTCAAAATAATACCACATACACAACATAATGACTTTCCTATAATAATTTTGTGGATTTCGGCCTTAATTGTTTGTGTTTTCAGCAAACGCTTGCAAACGTTGGTACACTGAGAACAAAAACTATTTTTTGTTGTTGAAATTTAATCAAAATGGAAGCGGTATCTTATCTTAATTGGTAAACTTCAACTTAAGTCAGTTTTATGTTAGAGGCAATAAAGAACTTAAATGGGTATAAAAGGCTTTTATAGGTGATAAATTACAAATTTGAATGTCAAAAGACAGCTTCAGTAAATATTAGAATAGCAATTAACACGTCTGTGATATGTTCAATAAATATATGTTTTATTATTTTTGTTCGTGATTTTTGTATTTTACTTTTAGTTTGTTTATCGAATTGTATGTAAATAGTTTTTATAAAAGTTTTTTTTGGATAAATATTTTTTTTGGTGCAGTTGTACGTTTATTTATGCATTTGAACGTGTCTGCCGGTTATTTAGGACTCCCATTCCATATGCAAGCAATCAAAATTACGGTTGGTCCGTCCGTTACCTGTTTGGATGCGTTTTTGGAATTTCGAGTGATTGCATACGATTTCATACAATTTTCTCTGTATCATGCACTTACAGTTTGAGAATCCACAGTTTTGAAGTGACCATGGGCCAATTACTTTACCCGATAAATGCCCGATGTTTGCCTTGTGGCTGGTTGTTGTTGTTTTAGCTGTAGCTGCTCTTCGCTGGGTAAACAAAAGATAGGCAACGATTGTTGGTGGGCAGCAGGTGCTCGAAAGTCTCAAGTTGCTCGCAAATACATAGTATTACTAGAGATATGTATTTGCGAACGTGACAATTGTTGCCCATGGCTTATTCGCTTGCTCACCCTCTCGAGCTTAATTACTCATCCACAAACACACCCGCAAATTCCATTTATTGAGCTGCAATTGAAAGCTTTTTGTACAGTTTAAGCTGCACTGCAATAAGTGGTTTTCTCCTCCGCAGAGAGCAGAAATCGCCGAAGGAAAATGGACACCCGCGTCGAACTTGAGCTGGAGCCGGTTGGCAAGCAGCGGCAGGAGGAGCAGCCAAAGGATGAGCCGGAGGAAGATGAAAGGGAATCAAAGGAAAACCAGCTGGAGATGGAGCAAAAAAGCCTACTCACTCCGGTGAAGACCAACCTGCCACCCACCGGAAGCCCCGCCGTTCAGGAGCTGGAGTCCACGCCCAGGACACCGCCGCCACCGATGAGCGTGCAGCCGGGAACGTCTCGCCAGCTCTTCAGAGAGGCTGCAATGGCCCATGGAGGCCAGGAGAGCACATCCCTGCTGCAGCAGGAGCTGAACAACATAGCCGCTACCCAAACACCAGTCACGCGGCTCAGAAGTGCCAGTTCCACGCTGGACGCCAGTGTCTCAAGAAATCCCTCAACCACCGGTGGCAAACACGAGAAGAAGCTCGGCCATCGGAGAGTGGCGGAGGGTGGCGAAGTGACCTACAAGAAGATCCAGTCCAAACAGATCATGGGATCCATCCAGCTGGGCATCCAACACACTGTGGGCAGCCTGGCCAGCAAACCCAAGAGGGATCTGCTGATGAACGACTTCTGGGAAATGGAAACCATCTCGTTTCCCCCAGATGGTTCCTCCATAACACCTGCCCATCACTACAGCGACTTCCGCTTCAAGGTCTACGCACCCATAGCTTTTCGCTACTTCCGGGATCTGTTTGGAATCGCACCCGACGACTTTCTCATGTCCATGTGTGCCTCCCCGCTGAGGGAGCTCTCCAATCCGGGTGCCTCTGGCTCCATATTTTACCTGACAACCGACGATGAGTTCATAATAAAGACGGTGCAGAAGAAGGAGTGCGAGTTCCTGCAGAAACTGCTGCCCGGTTACTACATGAACCTCTCGCAGAATCCTCGAACGCTGCTGCCCAAGTTCTTCGGCCTGTATTGCTTTCACTACAACTCGAAGAATGTGCGGCTGGTGGCCATGAACAACCTGCTGCCTTCGGATATTAAAATGCACGCCAAGTACGACCTGAAGGGCTCGTCCTTCCGCCGCAAGGCCTCGAAAGCGGAGCGCCAGAAGGCGAGTCCCACGTTCAAGGACCTCGACTTTGCGGAGCACCACCCGAACGGCATCTTCCTTGAGACGGACAAGTACAATGCGCTGATGAGCACCATCAAGCGAGATTGCATGGTGCTGGAGAGCTTCCAGATCATGGACTACTCGCTGCTGGTGGGCATCCACAATCTGGACCTGGCCGCCAAGGAGAAACGCGAGGAGCGGATCCTGAATGCGCGCGCCAAGCTGCAGCGCAAGGAGAGCGCCGCCCAGGGTCCTCCGTCCTTGAATCCCGATGACGATGCTCCGGAGGCAGATCAGAATCAACTCCATGCGGTGTCCTCTTACGCCTCCATTCCGGGCACTTCCGGAGGAGCCGCTCTGAACCGCACACGCAGTATGAATCGCCAACGGTTGGTGGCACATTCGACGGCTCTGGAGTCGATTACCGCCGATATGGATGTGCCGTTGGAGGAGGATGAAGACGTACCCGCTGGCGGTATACCGGCTCGTTCCGAGAACGACGAACGGTTGATTCTGTACATTGGCATCATTGACATTTTGCAGTCGTACCGCTTGGAGAAGAAACTGGAGCACACGTTCAAGAGCATCCTGTACAACGGGGACACGGTGTCCGTTTGCCGGCCCTCTTTCTACGCCAAGCGCTTCCAGGACGCCATGGGCAAGCAGGTGTTCAAGAAGACGCCCACATTTCCACTGAAACATTCCCCCTCCAAGCGGAAAACGTCGACCACCCAGCTGCGTTCGCCCGCCTCGCGAGTTCCGCTGCTGAGCACTCCGATCCAAGGGGCTCGTCAGGCGGTGCCGACGATGTCCGGCATGTCGACGCCACCGCCGGCCTTCGACGACATCTCCGAGGAGGACATCACCGCCACACCGACGAGCACGCTGCAGCTGCAGCAGAGGAGCAGCAGCCAGACGAACAACAACCAGGGTGAAGCGGAGGTGATCACCGCGAGGGGCGGGAGCAGCACGACGGGCGGCAGCGGGGAGCCGAGCAGCACCTATCACACCCAGTACTCCTACGACAGCTCCGGACGGACGGGCAGTGCCCTGACCAGCGACTACAGCGACGACGAGTCCACGGGCACGGACCTTGGTTCCCGGTCGCCGCATCAGCACCACCGCACCCATCGGCTGACCAAGACGAGTGTCCAGGTCACGACGGTGGGCTACGTGGAGGAGGTGGGCGCAGCACCAGCGGGCGAAAAGGATCTGGTGCACGCGGATGTCAACGGCAAGGCCAGCTTGACGACCACCACCATGTTGACGACCACAAAGACGGCCCACATCCAGGCGCCCAGCTACACATCCACACTCGTGCTCAACGACTTGCCGCGTTGATATTCGGAGCGGGATGGCGGGGTCTAAAGTTAACCAGATGAGGAGGAGGAGCGATGTTCGTAGCCCATGTGTATGTGTGTCTGCAAGGTGGAAACGCCACTCCCCCTCCAAAAAAAAAAATAACACAAAAACGAAATACTGAAAACGAGCTCGTTTATCATGATTAAACACAAAAACCAAAAGCGAATACGTATTCGATATTAAAATTTATGTGGCGCCCGTGCTAATTGACTGCCAACCAGACACGCCCCCTCTTACACACACACACACACACACACATGCAGCTGGGGTTTCCCCCTCACCCTATTAAAATTTATAATTATTTCGCTTCTTTTTGGTTGTTATTTCCGTTTTTGTGTGGCCTTAACTGAAGTGTGTTTTAATTTCTGAAATTAGTGTGTACAAGGAACAAAACAAAAACTACTCGATTGAAATTGGGATTATGGTTGGAGAAAAGACGATGTGAGAACACAATTACTGTCTATATGTGTATGTTGCTGTATTATAAAGTGCGTTTACGTATTCTAAGATGCTCATGTAAATAAAGGAACGAGAATAAATATATTAACGATATATGGGTATGGGTGCATTTCCTACCCTTTGGGCCCAATGTCCTCCGGTGGTTTTTCAGGCTTTATTTGCGGTTGGGCATAAATCACTTAATGATTTTCAATGTTGCCTTTAAGTGCCGTTAATTTTTATCGCCTTGCTGCATTGTTAAGCCTCTTTCAGCCAACCAGCGTCGATTGTTCCATATTTATAGTGGCAGAGAAAGGATTTTGCAAGGAAATGAGTTCGGGGCTTCCCGACTTAAATGGAGGATGCCCTGGCAGAGCTCTCCATTAATTAGCCCGTGTCCTAGGGGCAGTGGTTTTAATTTGTGTACCCTGTAATTCGGGATATCGATGGGGAAGTGTAATATGTGTGGAATGAAGCTTTCAGAGGGCTTAACAGGTATAATTAATGCAATTTAAATGGGGTACTTATGTCGAAAATGAAAGGAAAAAGTCAGTTGGATTAAATTCTGTATGGTTTTTGAAAAGAAGATAGTTCTTTAATTGCTTTCATTTACAAAAATTGTCCTTTATCCGTAACCAATAAAATTAAGAGAATAAAATATTCGATAAACAAATATTTAATTTAAATAACTGCCCAAAAAAATAATATTGTAAAATGCGTTAGAAGCATTAAAAATTGTAAATTAAACTGAGAGTGACCGCAAATATTTGTTGGTTTTTACAGCCGTCCTTTTTGTGCTAATTGAATATAATTTTAATTAATTGCTTAATGAATTCAATAAATATGCGTTCGGCGAGGTGTGAGTTGTAATGTGTGCGAAAGTAGTGGAATAAAAAACGTTTCGTCGTTTATTTATTTCATTTTGTTTACTTGAAAGAAGCACTTTGTCAATATTTGCTCTGCACGGGAGAGAGTTGCACATTACCAGTTGACCAAATACCATTTGGGGGCCAAAGAGGAGAGGAGGGCAGAGGTCAGAGTTCACTGGGCGTGCATAACAGTAAAATAAACTTCCCCACTCATGCATAACACAAATAGTTGCTAGGTGCCGCCAACAAGTGCGCATTTTCCCTTTTTCCGTATGGTATATTATGTAATTATGGCGAAAACAAAGTTTAATAAATATGTAAACTGCAAAGTGCAAAAACCGCGCAAAATTAAACAAAATAAAACACGAGTTCGGTTTTGCGATGTCACACGAAAATTGTTTTGCAGCATAATTAGTTTATTCCATTTGCATAATAGAGCCCCAAAGTGACGCACACCAAATGTTTTGTTCATTTTCCATGGTGTCCCCCCTCGGAAAATCATTTGCATTTCGAGTAACATCGGGCAGGTGGCCCGCCCCCCTTTGTGCCTGTAACTCAACAGATTTGGTCTGTAAAATCTGCATAAATGCCCACAATTTGGGGCATTCACATCAATTATTTAGAAATTATTGCACAGTAATGTATACTGGGCCATATGCCAAATGTCATTTTGATGGCCCCAAAAACTTTGGAGCTCCCACTTGAGTACTCCTTAAATTACTGAAAAGCATAAATTTAAATTGAAATGTCCTGCTGCGCAGAACGGAGAGAACATTTCATTGATTAAAATAATGATTTGTATCGCTGGGCGGAAATTTAATTTTTTTGTAACGGATATTAAGTCAATGTTCAGGCATGTGTGCTTCTGCTCCTGGGCGAATGACCCCTGAACAAACTGAACAACCGAACGACCCGGGGGAATTCACGGGTATTGGCAATGAATCCAGTCCAGCCAAGCGGCAATTGCATTAAATTTAATGAATTTAAGCCTGTTAAACGAATGAGTCCAATTTATTTAAATGATGGACACTACTGATTGCCGCTCTCTGTTTCTCTCCATTGCTCCATTTCAGGCATGTCCTTCCAGCGCAGCTACAGCAGAGTCTGGTGGGGATCCGAGCAGGGCTCCTCCCTCACCAGTGGCGGTTTCTATTCGAGCTTCAGCAGTGGGGGCAGCAACTTCGCCCAGCGCCAGCAGCCCTCCTCCCTCGGCCCCCTCGGCAACCTGTCCTGCATCCAGGAGGTGGAGGACGAGCAGAATGGCTCCAAGTTATCCTGGCACAAACACGATAGTCCCGGCAGTCTGCGCAGCCAGGTAAGCATATCATTGGGAGTCATTTAAATCCGAGCCCAGGGGCATTATAGTTTGATGAGGAACATGTGTAGTTCTAATTGGTTTGAGTTTGAGCTTAGGTATAATTACTGAATTTATGCACTGAAATTAGCAATAATTAAATTTTACCAAATCAAAGATAAAAGGTCAAAATGGGAAGTTTGTGGTTTGCAATTAATTTTGAAACTCATATCATATATGTAATTAATAATTGCCTCTCTAATTAACTGATATTCAAATCGCAAACAAGTTTGGGATTTCTGATTTTTTTGTACCTTTATTTTTAAATGTAAGGTAGTGATTTTAAAAGCTAAAGCATCAACATTTAGATATAATGAGGGGTAGTAATATTTTTGAGATTTAATTATATTTCTACCATTATTAAATACAGTACGCTAATATTTTTTTTTCTTTGTGGTTTCCTAGGACTCGGGCTTTTCGGATAATGAGGAATCGCATCAGTTGCAGCATAATCAGCATGAGGCATCTCCGCAATCCCCCAAATCGGACAAGCAGCAAACCCCCGCAGCCACGCCCACCTCTGTACACTCGGTGGCCACGCCCCCAACGGTGGTGCGCCGTGTGGGCAACTCATCGTTTTACTCACCGCTGATTAGTGTTACGCGACGAATTTCCTTCACCAGTGGCCAGATAACTCCGAAGGCGAAATCGGGAGATGCAGATGAGGATGCAGTGGACGCGGAGCTGGAGGCCTCCAGGAGTCGCCTGTTCGAGCAGCTGGACAGCATGAAACTGGACGACGAGGCGCCAGCTGGGGAGGAGGAGGATATCACACCACCACGTCCGGCAATAAGACGCCGCCGGCGTTTGATGCGCAAACCGAAACCGGAACCGGAAGAGGCTTCGGCCAGCGAGGAGGAAGTGGTAACAGCAGCACCACCACCACCACCCCCATACAACAATGAAACTGTTTACTTGGGAGAGGCGCCACCGCCGTACAACAACGAAACGGTGACCTTCGGCACCAGCGAGCAGGACGAAACCCTCCAGTTGCAACCTTCTCCCTTGAGAGTTAGGGCTTTGAGGTTCACGGCCAGCACGAGCACCCCGAAAAGTGGCTCAAAGATAGCGAAAAAGGGTAAGAAGCACCCGGAACCGGTGGCCAGCTGGATGGCGGAGCAGCGGTGGGCCGGCGAACCGGAAGTGATGTGCACCCTGCAGCACAAGTCAATTGCCCAGGAGGCGTACAAAAACTACACGATCACCACGAGTGCGGTTTGCAAGTTGGTGAGGCAGTTGCAACAGCAGGCCCTGTCACTTCAGCAGCATTTCGAGCGGAGCGAGCGGGTTCTCAGCGGACTGCAGGCCAGTTCTCTGCCGGAAGCCCTCGCCGGAGCCACTCAGTTGCTCTCCCACCTGGATGACTTCACCTGCACGCTGGAGCGTCGCGGGATCTTCTTCAACGATGCCAGAATAGAAAGGAGGCGGTATGAGCAGCACTTGGAGCAAATCCGCACGGTTAGCAAGGACACCAGGTACTCGCTGGAGCGGCAGCACTACATCAATCTCGAATCCCTGCTGGACGATGTGCAGCTGCTCAAGAGACACACTCTGATCACACTGAGGTTGATCTTCGAGCGATTGGTTCGCGTTTTGGTGGTCAGCATCGAGCAGAGTCAGTGTGATCTTCTGCTAAGAGCCAACATCAACATGGTGGCTACTTTGATGAACATTGACTACGATGGATTTGCCTCGCTTTCCGATGCCTTCATCCAAAATGAGGCAGTAAGGACTTTGTTGGTGGTGGTGTTGGACCACAAACAGAGTTCCGTGAGAGCGTTGGCACTGCGGGCTTTGGCCACTTTGTGCTGTGCCCCGCAGGCCATTAATCAGTTGGGCAGCTGTGGAGGCATCGAGATTGTGAGGGACATCCTGCAGGTGGAGTCCGCCGGCGAGAGAGGAGCCATCGAGCGGAGGGAGGCCGTGTCCCTGCTGGCGCAGATCACTGCCGCGTGGCACGGCCCCGAGCACCGAGTGCCCGGCTTGAGGGATTGCTCCGAGAGTCTGGTGGCCGGACTGGCGGCCCTTTTGCAACCGGAGTGCTGTACACAAACGCTGCTCCTCTGCGCCGCCGCCTTGAATAATTTGAGCCGCATGGAGGCCACTTCGCACTACTCCATCATGTCCAACGAGGCCATCTTCCGACTGATCGACACCCTGGAGCACCAGACCTGCGGCACCAGTGTCTTCCTCTATGTAAGTATCTAAATAATAAATAATAGCAATATTTTTAATTGAAAGTCTTAAAAATATAGTGTATGGTGTTATCTCATGCTCAAATAATTGTTTTATGCACAATTTATTATTATTGCTCTCATTTATATTTGCAATTTATTATTATTGCTATAATTGTCGGAATTGAATATTCCTTTATATCAAAACAATTTTTATTTATATTTTGATTTAATTAATTGGTTTAAAAAGCATTTGGCTGCGCAACTGTATAACATTTTATTAAATTTGATTATTTATTTTATAGCAATAAAATATCGATTACATAAAGTTGTATTTCTTTAAAATTTAAAAATGTTCCACAACATAAACAATATTTTTCTGTGTAAACTACTAAAGCGAACCTGACCTTGGATGCCTTCTGTTCGGATCGATTTCCAACAATTTTTTGGGCAATTTTATTGAAAGCATCCCGGGTGCTGGCTCGTAAAATTTATTTGTGCATTTGCAAAGCAATTTTTTCTCAATCTTGGCCACGATTTTTCATTCCCCAATATATATATAAGCGAGCACAGACGCACACACACACATCCAGACATCCTCACCCAAAAGACCACTTTGAGTTGCTTATTTTTTGCTCATCAACATTCTCCCCCTCTGTTTTATTTCATCCGAACAGGAGCAGATCGTTGGGATGCTGCACAACATGTCGCTGAACAAGAAGTGCCACAGCCACTTGGCCAACGGCATCATCATAAATTTCATCACGTCCGTGTACCAAACGGAATTCTACAAGACCTACGGCTCACGTGCGGAGTGCGATGCCCAGCGGCGGAGCATCAAGACCATCCTGCACACGTTGACGCGGCTGGCCAGCGATTCGCCCACCCTCGGAGCGGAGCTCCTGGAGCAGTGGCATCTGCCGGATCTGCTGCGTCAGTCGCTGGCCCTCAAGCCCTCGAATCACCAACAGCAGCAGCAGCAGCAGTATCAGAATCAGGAGCAGCAGCACCTGGACAGCAGTTATGGCGGAGACATCTCCCAGTTGGCGCGACAACTGCTCGGCGGCGTTTATCGGCAGGAGCAGCAGCTGCTGGCCACTCCAACGCAGGCTGGATCCTTCTCCAGCGGTCACCAGACGCCCGAGGCACAGACCCAGACCAATTCCAGTGGCGTCTCGAACTCCAGCAGCAGAACCAAGGCCACGTCGTCGTCGCATCTCAAATTCAATTTAACACGTCAGGAGAGTTTCGTCTAGTTTTCACCACCTGAGAAGAGGATTCGGAAAGAAGGAGTTTTTCCGCATCTCCACATGAACTGCAGAGAGAAAAATATGTCAAAGTTGACTTAGAATGTGTACAAATCTGTTTGCTGATAATATGTTAAAGAAATTAATGTCCCAAAAAAGTTAATTTATTGATACAATTATTGTTGGAATATCACAATTTGTAATTTATGTAAATTTAGAAACCTCTTTTGAAGTAATTTAAAATGTATCAGGATTATCTTAAATTTTTCCATTTTGGCAACCATATATTGCTCATATTTTCTCTCTGTGTGGACACGTTCTGCGAACGGACACAAGCCGGAAGCTCAGACGTGCGTCAAGTGTTATTACTTTGTCTAGAATGTTGCGTGACCCGTTTGGACTCGCTCTCCCTCTCGTTTCGACCTTATCCTTGCTGCCTGCTGGATGTAAACGAAGTAATTTTTATATTTCCACTCAGGCAAACAAAACAAACGGAGAGGCGGAGCGAGGAGCCGAATAAACAGAAATACAATTTTTCGTTCAACTTGCTTTTGCTGTCGCCGAGGAAACTTTTGGTATTTTTGTGTGCTTATAACAAAAATGCTCTTAAAGTGCTTTCTCTCTCTCGGTAGCCAGATTTATTTTATATTTTATTCAATGCAAATGCAACTTTGACATTTTGCATTCTCTCGTTGTAAATATTTTCACGAAAATCCTTAACCTAACCCCATACGGCTGGCAACTTTAAAACCAAAAACATGGAAAATTCCTTAGCTGTAGGAGAAATGTCCTTTGTGCCAAATGAAACGAGAAAGAAATGCAAGCAATTTTTTTGTATTGTACTTAAAGCAATTGTATTGCATAACATTGTATTATATATGTATGAAAATATTTACGCTTTCAACTATTGTTTGAGACTACGGTTAAGTTATTCGTTAGGCTATCAATTACACATTGCTTACATTGCAATTATGTCGCTAAAATAAAACATAAAAATATACGTTTACACAAAACCTTGTTTTTTACCTTTATGAAATATTTACTGATTATTTGAGGAGGCGAGGTGATATTAAATGCGGTGTTAACTTATAACTATTCAACTTAAATTCTTTTTAATAGTTCACTTGTTTGTAGGTCACTATCATCAACAGGATTATTTATTTTCTGTGCACTAAAGCTGGACGAAGAGTGCCCTGAAAATGCCCCATATTATACCATAATAACAAGGTATTACTCGCGTATTCTTCAACATTGCGTTTTACTCAAAGATGTTGTGTTTTTCCCAAACTAACTCGGACCATAGTTCTTCCCTTGTGCTCAGCATTAAATGTGTTTTGTTACAGAAGAACAAGCTTACGTTGGTTAGACATACTTTTACTGTTATCCTTTGCATTTTGTTCCTTATCTCGCTTGTTTTTCTTTTGTTCTTGCTGTCGGCAAGGGTTCACTGTCTATTCGCACACAGTCTCGGTCGAAATGAAAATATACAAAAGTAAATACTGCAGTGATCACCATTTTGGCGTGCAAATCCACAGATACCCACAAACCCACAGACACTGACATTTGCACACTTTATCGAGCATGGAAAATCAGAGCTTACAGTCTGCTATTTGTAGTGTGGGGCCCTAAGTGGTTGGGGGAAAACGGGTGGATGCCGAGCGGCTCTCGACTTAAACATGAAATCGTTTGCTGTTTTGAACCAAACCGAAATGAGAAATTCCTATTTGGAAAGTAAAGCGATTGCAAACTAGTCCGATTGTTTCGACGTGTTTGAAATTTAATTACGTACTTAAATAATAATTTTGTTATTGGAGTTTGTTTATACATAATTGGCTACCAATTTACTGAAGTAAATTGGAATCCTATATTACTGGATATTTATTAAGTTCAATAAGATGTTTATATCAGAATACCAAAAGAATTTAAAGTTTGGGTGTTCAACTTTTATTCGTGTTTAATGATATTTATGGTTGGTTTCCCAAACGCTTTTGCATTTAAAACCTGTCGAAGCCATTCGCACGGAATCAACTCAAGCCCCTATTGCATTCCTGATTTAAATATAGCAGCCTTAACTATTCGTCACGGACAGCTGAAATGTATGCTATGCAAAATGCGTTGGCCCGGCTCAGATGTCAAAAAGCATACCGACTCTATATCCTGCTGAGTCCTGTCCTTTCCTTACCCTCCCCTGCCCTCTCCACAGTTCCCATGGCTGTCGATATCCGAATCAGGCATAAACAAGTTCTTTAGAGTAGATTGAAGTTTTATAATGTTGGCATATTTTGCATGGCTGAGCCCGGAATGAGAGAATATATCCTTTGCCATTCGTGGATGTGTGAGAATGTGTGCGAGTTCCCATTGAAGAGCCTTACACACACACAGATAAGTCAGGGGTATCTTGAGTCCTGTGCCTCGCGTGTGTGAGTTTATGTGTGTTGTTTGCGGCATGCGGAATGCCCGGCTCTGATCCAAAGTGTTGCGGCATTTGATGCCTTCTCGTCCGTGTGTTTGTGACTGGCCGTCTATGTGTGCGAGCGTATTATGACAAGTATGGCTGACGTTTGTGAAAGCAAAAAGGATAACACACAGAGGTGCACACAGGACATATGCTAAGGAATGGCCAAGAACGCCTAACTTTTTGTGAGGAAACTTTTATGGCGATAGTACACAACTTTTACAGTATGTTTTAGTGCACCTCAACTTAGCAAAATATTTTATTTTAGGAATTTGTTTTTGTCAAAACTTTAGCTTCACTGTTTAGGTTTTAATAAAAATATCATAATTCCCTATTCATATCTATCTTTAGAAAATAATTTGATATTAGGCAAATTATTTATTGACAAAAATATTTAATTCTAACTAAATTATTATTATTATTATTGTATTAAAATATGACGCTCTTATACATTGCTTATGTCCCACGTTTAAACCTGTTTTAAAAACTAAATATTCCCATGTGTAGGATATTATAGTTATATTTTTTAGGCTTCACGTGATCATCTCTGGCGTTTGGGGCATCGACGAAGCGCCTGGAACGACCCATTGACCTCGGTTCCAGACTAACGCTCGTTTATCGTGCCCGGCTTATCTATGTGTGGATTTTGTAGGTGAGTGGCGTTTCGTAGGTGTGGATTCAGTGGGTGGCTGTGGCATCAGCGCCAGCACCAGCACCATCACTCGCACTCGCACTCGCCTCTTTCATGATTTTTATAGCATTTGTTGCTGGTGCAGGAAGTGCCTTTAGTGATTTCCGCATGTGGCCGCCTCGGCCCTGTTTACACAGCGAGCATATTGCGGTTGACACATTTTGTGCGTTTATGTTTTTGAAATGTGTTCGCTTTTCCCTCCTTTCTTCTCCGTTTTCCTTTTTTTCCAGCGACTTTAAAGTGCCCAACCGCCAGCAGCCAAGCCAAGCCGGGCAGGAATAAAAATGCTTCAGACAAATGCCATGAAAAATGCATAGCCTGGGGAAAATATGGTAAGGAGTAGGGGAAAGCACATGTGGAAAAGGAGCGGGTTGGGAAAGCTGGCAAGTGAAGCGTAAACAAACGATTTCTGACAAAAACCAAAAAAAAAAAGAAAAACTATGGGCTAAATTGTTTGCGGGCAGGCACTCCCTGAAAGTGGGGCGGAGTTGGCGAAGTGGGAACTAGTTCTTAGTTCTTGTGTCATAATTAGGGCCTTTGCACGTGCTCTGGGCGGCAACGTGGCGATAACAGTTGGCCCAAAACTTTCCCGACTACTATCAACAGCTAAAAGCGTTAAAAGTTGCTAGTTGGTCGAAAGTTGCACCTCCGTAGCGCCGACGGTGCAACAATGATGGTGCAACAACGGCAATCAGCCGGAGAAAACTACCGCTGGAGTACTATAACAATCGCGATACAACGAAGACAAGTTACTCTGACAGGTTTTTAAGTGTATTGCAGTTCCCTTTAAAACGAAATACAAATTAACATAATACCACTAAATAAAATTCAATTTAAACCTTGAGTTTTAAAGCTGATTAAATTGAAGCTTTTGCATTTATTATTGTCTAGTATGATATCGAAATATGATTATAAAAAACATTCATCCAATTAAAATCAAAATGCTGGAAACATATAATACTTTGTTTCTTTTCTACGCTGTTTGAATATTTATTAGTAAAACTATAAAAAATAATAGTATTAAAAAATTTTAACTTGTTGAAACTTGATAACGTTAAAACGAAATCATAATATCCATAGAGAATTTCGTTTCTCTGTTAAGTGTTTTTTATTTATCTCTGAGCTGCAAAATTATAAAAGTATTTTTAGTTCATCAAGTAAACATATCAAATAGTAGAAAGTGGATTTCACTGAAATGAATTTTTCGGCTTTCATTTGAACAAGTTCTGGTGTAAGTAATTCTACTAGTGGCAGAAGTGGCTTTAAGCTTGCTGAATTAATGATGATGCAGAGGTGCATGCCCTATCTGGTAGATAATAAGGCCTGGGATAAGTTTTTACGGGCACTCCACTTACGGGCTGTAGTTACCATAGGCACTTACGCGAACATCCCCTCCTTATTTAACCCCCACGCAGGAGCCAAGGACATGCAGGATGTGAGAACTGCACTTAAATGCAACTCCTGCAATGTTTTCCTTACACTCTCCTCGTTGTTTTTGTTTTTTCATTTTTATTTTTGTGAACTGCCAGCTTATCAGACTTTTGCCGGCGGGCCAAGCAAACACCCATACATCCGCAGACACCCTCACACCGACACCCTCACACCTACAGCTACGCAAACTCCCACGCACACATGTGAGCTTTTCCCGGGCTTCTGGGACTCCAGTGCAATTAGGATGTGGAGCGCGAAGGGCGAGTTTGAGTGCTGGGCTTTGGGCTCCATTTTGATGCGGCCATAAACGAGTTGTCATTATTAATGCCGCCACGCCCACCCAACCACCCACCCACCGAACCCTTGCAATAAACCAAAGCATTATTAACTGCCTGCAAAAAGCGTTGAATGGATTGCGTATACGCAGCGTGTCCCACGAGTGAGAACTTTTGCCGCAGGCTTTCGGCTCAAATCCTCCGGCATTATCATGCGATTATTAGCCAATATTTTATTTCGCACCATTTCTTACACCATTCCATGCCACGACGCACACATAAGCATACACATTACTTTGGCTCCACTCTGGGCAGAGTCATATATTTTTATTTGTTGCAGCAAAGGGTTGTAAAGCGTCGCCATTATGCTTGCTATTTTTTTCGGGTTCGATCCTTCGTGGTTTCTTTTTTTTTTTTTTTTATTCGATTCGCACAGACGTGCACAAGATGCGTCAAAAATTGGTGGGCGGAGGTTTTCAGCTGGGCGTGGCAGCTGAATTTATGGCCACAAATTGATTGTAAGTGCATAACGAAAACTGGTGAATTTCCGACTGTTACTGGTTGATTCCTGTTCGAGTGTCGGTCGAAATGTGAGTATTTCGTTGGCATTGTTTACCGCCGAGAGACAGCCGTTCAGTTAGTGGGGGAAAATGGGGAAAGGGGGAAGGGAAAAGGGAAAGCGGTTGGGGAGTAAGCGGTTGTTATAGGCTGAGCACCCTTGGCTTGGCCGCAAAAACAATCAAAACTGTTGACCGCAATTCGCAGCAATTGGTTTTGCCATTCGTTTTGTCAGTTTTTAGCATTGCGGTTAAGTGACGCAGGGTTTTGGGGGGCGAGAGTTATGTTTGCCACAGTTTGCCAGAGATATGAAACAAGACAGGCAAACAGCTTCATTGTTGCTCAACTCTCTGTTTATTGTTGTCTTTTTCTGCTCGGTTCTGGTTCTGGTTTCAGATTTTTCTCTATCATTTTTTCTTGTTTTTTCTCAACCATCAGAAGCTCGGAAAATGCATATTGAAAATTGTGCAAACAAAACTGGGGAAAATGCAGTCAATTCTCCGTTGTGTTGTGTTGTCTTCGGCTTGCTTGTCATTGGCAAACTGTGTCTGACGTTGCCTTTTGTTTTGCCACATCTGGTTGCAGTAGCTACATCAACATCT